CGCTTTCCCCCCCCACACAGTACATCATTCCTGTTTTGCACACACCTCCCTCTCACCACCTTCTCTCTTTTCACTGGTATTCGGTGCTAATTGAAACGCAGTGGAAATTTCGAATCGGGCGCATGAGCAGCCAGCTTGGTAGCGAGCAGGTTCGGTGCAGGCGTAAAATAGTGTCGCCGTTTACGTATATAATGACGTATGGCGCCATTCTGTGGTTGCGGTGGCGTTGCGTGCGTGCACGCTGTCCGTACGGCATCTTGTCTGCAAGTGACCAGCAGGCTGCGATTGCGGCATAAAACGCCGCTCCGTGTAATGTGCACGCGACGTGGCTTTCTGGTGTGGCATGCAGGCAGGGGCAGGCAGGCATGGCAGCAGGCATGGCAGGCATGCAGGCAGCAGGCAGGCATAGCAGACAATCCAGCCAAGTTCCAGGTAGGACAGAGAGAAATTAGGTATGCAGACCGTGTCGGAAGTGCTTACAGGATATGCGTGTCAGACACGCTTACGTACGTGGCTCGGTGTTTACTTCCGCGGTTCTTTCTCTGTGTCAGATCATGCAGGATGCGCGTGTGGTATCGATGCCATGTAATCCGGGCGGACGACCTCTCTGGCTACTCGCAGCGCTTTGCGGGTAACGCAAACTCTCCAGACTGGACGTCTGCGCTCAATTGTCCCATGAGCAGCGGAACACCATTACACGCGCATGCGGTGTGTGTCTGTGTGTCGCGTGCGACTTTAGTGCGAGCTGTGCTTTTTCGTTGTACGTGCGAGTGCGTGCGTGCGGTGCGTGGCGTGCCCGTTGGCGTGCGTGCTTTGTATTGTTGCTCTCGTGGAGGCGTGCTGCGTGCGTCCCCCGTGGGTGCGTGCGTTGCGTGCGTGTTTTGTAACATTCGTGGGCATTTGTGCTTTCGTGTAGCGCGTGGTCGCGTTCTGCTCACAGTAGTGTTCTCGTGCGTGGAGGCTTCGTGTAAAGGGCGGTTGCCGTTGTGCCATTCGCTGCCCTGGTGCCGCGCGCACACCGCGTGCACGCCTTATCGTCTACGGCAGTGGGGGCACCCGTGATAGACATCGGCATCCCCCACCACCACCACCACCACAGCAGCAGCAAGCAACCGAGCAGCAGGCAACAGCACCACCACACACCAGCAGCCAACAACCCAGCGGCAGCCACAACGCAGCACCTCACCACCACCACCTACCACCGACACCGATCCAGCAGCAGCAGCAGGAGCAGCAGCGGGTGTGCCGCAGCATCAGCAGCACCACACCACCCCCACCACCACCAGCGAGAAAACCGGCAGCAGCACCACCACACCACACCACCACCAGCTCAGCAGCAGCACCAACACCACCACCAGCAGCAGCGCAGCAGCCACCACACCAGCAGCAGCAGCATCAGCAGCACCACCACATCCCAGCAGCAGCAGCAGCAGCCCCCACCACGGCACTTGGGATAGGTAGCAGTCAGTAAAAACTTGAAAATAATATGAACGCACAGTCAAAATACTAGACGATTCTCGTAGGCCCTACGCTGCTCATGTACGAGTTCCACTGTTTGCACTGTAGTGCGGGAACGCTCTCGCCACTCCGCCCGCTGCGAAGGGTTGCTGTGTCGCCATGATTAATGATAATCTAAATTATAATAGATATATATATATATATAGTATAGTATATATAAATAGTATAGTATATATATATATATATATAGTATACTATATATATATATAAAAGATATATATATATTATATAGTATATTATCATTTCATGTGCGACACAGCACCACTCGCAGCGGCTGATCGTCGGTCGAGCGTTTCGGTGTTACGTTTTATGAAGGAAAGCTTGATATGAATAGCTGATCACAACAGTGGAACCTTAATTTGAGATTAGTGTGTGTGTGTCGTATTTGCTGAATGTTGCGTTCATCATTATTTTTCCAGTCTTTTACTGACTGTCCCACAGTGCGTGTGACCACCACCACCACCACCAGCAGCCGAGCACGCGCGCAGACACACACCACCAACCACCACACACAGACAAGCAGCAGCCAGCAAGTGCAAGCAGCACAGCAGTCCAGCAGAAGCAAGCCAGCTGTAGTACGGATTGCAGGATGGACCCTGGCAGATTGCTGATTGAACCTAAAGCGCTGCCCATTGTTGACGGCGCGTAGTTATATGTTCTGAGGTTTGCCCCGGCCGTCGGCTGATGTCGGATCCTCCTGCGCGATCTTCCGCGCAGGCATGTGGCAGGGCCCGGCAGTCTGCGCGCGCCGCCCGATCCCGCGCCGAATTAAAGACACCGCAACTAACATTACGGGCCGCTTGGGATTTCCAGGACGGATGCATGGAGAATTTGCAGAATGGAATCCGCGCGCTGCGTGCTGCACTTCGCTGGGCCGCCGCTGCCGGGTGTGAGAGGGTTAAGCCAATGATCGCGCAGGCTTTCCGCTTGACTGTTTATGTACAGAGCGTCGTCGGACGGCGGCGTGAAGAGGGTGTTAGGGTGTGGGATGGGCGGAGTTGATGGGGCGTTAAAATAAAGGTTGCTAATGGCCGGTGGTTCAGGCTCTAACCGTCTCACCTCGGTGGCGGGATTGCTGCGGTGTGGCGGCGGCGACGGTGACGGCGGTCGACTGTGACGTGCGGGCGAATGGCGATAGGGACAGTTGACGGTGACATGTGAGCCGATGCAGTTGAGCTCATCGATAGCAGCAGCGCTTGGTAGGAGAGTTTGGTAGTTTAGGCGAGGAGGAGTGGCGGCTAACGGATGGCTTGTTGGCGATGGGTGGGTGGTTGAGGTTGTGAGTGGTCTTGTATAGCTGAGGATATGCGTGGTGCCTGGCAGTCGCGCCTATTGCGGGTGCGGGTCGAGAGTTTACTGGGTGAAAACCGACAGACGTTATGCTTACACTCGTAGCTTCTTTAATTGGTTTGCGGTCGAGTGTTTGGGCACGGAAGAGAGCTGGAGAGAGACGAGAGAGAGAGAGACCATGGACTCGAGTAGATCGAGAGAGAGATGGTTTGATGCACAGTTCTTGCAGCTGCCGTGTACTGCGGGAGACGCGTTCGGCGATGTGAGTTAAGACCTTAGTTCAGTCGGTGTTCAGTCTGGTTTCACTCGCGAGTGGCGTTGGGGAGACACGTAGAATGCCAGCAAGGGGAAAAAGAACAAGAGTAGGAGAAGGCTGATCGGTAGGGGCAGAGCATTGGGAGGAGGAAGCGGTCGTGTCTTTGTAGGAGGCAAGACTACACGGCTTCTTTTCTTTGGCAAAGACGAAAGGAAGGGAGGAAAGAGATGAGGCGCGCGCTTCCGTGTAAGAAGTAGCATGTGCGGTGTTTTTGAGAGTTTTTATTCGTATGCGGGGGTTAGAGAGGAGGAGAGAACATCCGCTTTCGATCCTTATGATGTGAGAGGAAGCGAGAGAGAGAGAAGATCGGATGAGAGTCAGAGAGAGGGAGAGAGATGAGAGACGAGAGGAGAGATGACAAAGAGAGAAAGAGAGAAGGATGAGAGCGATGAAGATGAGAGAGAGAGGAGAAAGAGATAAGGTGAGGAGAGAGAGAGACGGAGATGGAGAGAGAAGAGAGAGCAGAGAGAGAGAAAGCGAAGAGAGAGAGAGAGAGAGAGAGAGAAGAACGAGAAGAGACGAGAGAGAGAGAGCGGAGCGAGAGCGAGAGCGAAGAGAGAGGGAGAAGAGAGAAGTGAGAAGAGAGAGAGAGAAGCTTTTGTTTTTGCATGGTCCGTCGCCGTGGGCGGGCTGTCGCGCGTCGGGGCTCGTCGGTTCGGCGGCGCTGACTCTGTCGGCGCCCGCTGAGAGAGAGAGCGAGAAAAGAGAGAGAGAGATGAGAGAGAGAGAGAGAGCATGAGACGAGAGAGCGATGAGCGAGAGCGAGATAGAAAGAGAGGAGAGAGAGCAGAGAGAGAGCGAGATGAGAGGAGAGGAGAGAGAGAGTGATCGCGGGCGCAACTACACTGTTAAAACAGTGGTCAAACAATGGTCAACAGTCGTGATCGCGCGCATTCCTTTCGGTTTACCCAATTTCTGTTTTTTTTGATATTATTTCATTTCTCAACATGAACCGCTGATTCCTCTTGTCTGAGCGTTACTGCAATGGCGTTCGCGTCCAGAAAGCGATCATGATCGACCAGCGGCGCTACGAATCGGTCGTCGAACGAGAGATGAAAAGTGTGTGAGTGACTGCGCATCGCGCGTGGATCTCGCAACTGGGCCGCCTGTGCTAACTCGTCGTCTGGCGTGCGGGCAATATGTAAATACTTGCGAAATGGATGTGATCATAAGCTTAGCAAGAACCTGGATGCACCGATGGTTCGCCGTCTAACTAGCTGTCGGTCTCATTGATGATTGCGGTCGCACATTACTCGGCTGCCGCGGAATATGAAACAAAAAACAGCGTGACTCGACAACGTTCTGCGGATTGAACCGGGGAACTGAAATCCGACGAATAATCAGTGGAATCGGCACCGACTGCGAAAACCCGCAATCGAGGCGAGAGCGAGATTGAATATGCAGGCAGAGAGACTGGACGAGAGGAGTTGAGGCGAGAGGTGAGAGGA